GTGTGTGTTCATGGTGTAACAGTGTGGTTCAGTAATGTATTTTTAACAGTTTCTTGACAACAACAGAGCTGTGGCACAGAAGAATTAACTGGCTTAGGTTACAAAGACAATACCTGTAAGTAGGATTAATTCATTGTTGGTTTTGGTGTTTTCATTTGGATTTTTTGACAATAAGAAAAATATTCAACAGCACCAGACTCATCCTTAAATGATGAAAAATTATGTGAACATTCTCAGTGCTGTAACTTTATCTGAGTTCTCAGTATGTCCATAGGAGATAATAAACCACAGTAAGTACTGTACGTCCTAAATATAGCTAAACCACCACTGGGGGGTATGTGTCTTGAAGGATTCACTCTCATAACCATAAAATGTAGGTACAGCACAAGCCCCCCATATACACAAGTCATTTCCATCACTTGAGAGGACATGTCATTGACTTGCATTTATTCCCTGGAGACTAACCTCAACAGAGCTGCAACAATTACTCAATTGATCGATTAGTTGGTCGACAAAAAAATTATCAGCAACTTTTTTGATGATCAATTACAAATTTCAGTCATTTTTCAAGTGAAAATGCCAAACATTCTTTGGTTCAAGTTTCTCGAATGTGACGTTTTCTTGCTTTTCTGTTTTTTTTAATAATTGTAAACTGAATATGTTTGGGTTTTTGAGAGTTCATCAGATAATAGAAAACATTTAAAGATGATATTTTTGGGCCTTTTTGACTTATTTGTCGTATTGTGTATATAATCTGCAGCTAAACAGATAGTAAAAATAAAATGCTAGCCTTAAAGCTTTACCAAGGCAATAGTGAAACATGCCTATCATTATTCCCAAAAGTCCAAGTGAACATTTTCAGATTACTTGTTTTGTTTTACAGTTAAACAGTTAAAAAACACAAAATGTTAAATTGTACGGGGGAACTAACCAATATTGACATTAGTGAAGCTTGTAGCAGTGAATTTCTTAGCATTTTTGCTTTAAGAATACCAATAGATTTTCTGTCAATTGACTATTAAATTAATCAAATGATTATTTAAACTGTAGAGAACTGGAAGACTGGAGGAATGATCAAACTGCCATGTTTGGTGGGGGTATGGAGGGGCCCAACAACTAATGTTTGCCCCAGGACCCCCTAAGAGTTTACTCTGGCCCTGACTATCACTAATACACGTCTCCTCACCCTAATTTTAACTTCACACCAAGTTTTAACCGTTAGATTTTATGTTTTACACGTTAACACACGTACGTTTAAACGCTCAACTGCTAACGGTTATTTAAAATGACAGTACCGTGAAAGACATTACGGTAAAATGTCTTCCTCTTCTCAGTTTCCCGCTTCGCTAAAACTTTGACAAACGTTAATTTTTTTTATTTTTTTTTTACCGTTTCTCTTACCTTTTAACTGTAGAATTGTCACCGGTCCCGACCGACCTCCGCAGCCTCTTGTGTGCCGGTAAATGAGGAGCTAACTCGGCGCTGTCCCGTCCTGCTGCTCTGAGCGGTGTGTGAGCGTAAACTGCCGGGAAGGGGGAGGAAGAGGGGGGGGTGGGGGGTTGCGCGCTCCTCGGGCACTGTCTAATCACTTCTGGTGCTGATCTGCGTCACGACGGCAGGTGACGTCACCACACAAACTCTCCGGTTGCGTCAGAAAACGGAGAAAGTGGCGAAAGAAAGCAGTAAAACATTAAAGGTAGCGCTTTAGTTTTCCTGCCTTTCTCATATTTAGCATTGCACGAGCAGTTTATACAGTTTAAACACACTGTAATGTTGTTTTAATCAAAGAAAAGGACATTTAAAAGTGTTAATTAATGTATTTAACAACACCTCTCCTATGAGTATCTATAACTGGTGTATTAACAATGAATAAGTAATAATAATAAATTATACTAACTGTAATATTCTGACATTACAGTAAAAACAAGCACAATAGTTCGATAACTCTATTCTTTGTGCAAGTGCAATTTTTCAGAGAAATGCAATTTTAAACTGCATATTGTTACATTTATATTTATATTGTATATTTAAACCATCACCTTTCAATAGTAGTGGCACATACGCTTACATATTTCTTTACATAATTCTATTTTTATTTATATATCATGATATAAGGACATATTTATTCTTATATTTTATCTTTATCTTTTAATCTTATATTGTTATTTCTTATTCTTTGCTGTTACATTTCCATTCTAGAGGGAGCAACCGAAACTTAACCAGCTTTCCCTCTGGTATTCATCACATGAAGCCAAGATCTGGTTCTTTTCTTCTAATGTTGTGACTCATTATCTTGCTGTAGGATGAACCCCGACCAACCAGTCTGCCTTCATTTGTTACTGCTCTTTTTCTTACCATTCCGAGAACAATACAGTCCTTCTTCCTGTTATCCTAATAATACATCAGAGGGTGTAGTAATACGGTTTGTTCAAACAGAGGGTTTGTCAGTCATCACACTGTGTAAAAATACACAATTTTTAATTAAATAAAGTTCTTTAAAATAAAACCTGTGAGTAACACCTCTCAGTGCTTTCACATTTATTTAGATGTATCTCCATATCCTGCTGGCAGTTACTTCTTATGTTAATGTAGGCTATATAGAGTCATTATAGTGTTTTGGCAACGCACATCCACTGGTGATGCTAATGAGCTCTTTGTGATACCAAAGACAGACAGGAGAGACATTAACATACTCTCCAGGAGGCCACTCATATTCATAGTCACCTATTTGACTGTCATGCCGGTGAGTTTGGAGCTCTGTGTTGGTGCTCAGAGCCTCTACTTTTACAAAAGTAGTAATATCACACAGTAGAAATACCCTTATAAGTAAAAGTCTTGCATTTGAAACAAAATGTTCTTAAAGGCGCCCTGTGGAGTTTTCTTGTAAACAAACAAAAGTCATGTTTACACCCAGTAAATGTTGTTTGTTTACACCCGACTCATTGTGTGTATGCTTGAGCTTTAAGAAACACGTCGGATGCATTTTCTTCCTCATAAAACAAAACATATTCTACATTGTGCCTTGTTTACATCTGTTTACTTTAGCCAGCAGTTTCTTTCTTCTTTTGTTTTCACTGCCAGCAACTGCCAGTCAGTGAAACGGTGTGAAATTTGAATTACTGAGTATGATGCATACAAAATGGGGACCCCCCACTCCACTCATAAACAACACTCAACAGCACTTGAAAAACTCCACAAGGTACCTTTAAAACTTACAGCAGCAGTTTACTGTTGTAGCTGATCAAAGTGGAGCCGGTTTTAATTACTTTATATAGTGTTAGACGCTTTAGTCTGTAACAATTCATTATATTATAGATATTTTAGGATTTTATATGCAGATATGTTTATTTTACACAAAAAAGTAACTGGTAACTGCAGCTGTTTCCTCCTAAATCAGGTGGAATAGAAAGTATAAAGTAGCATATAAAGGAAATACTAATTAATAATCAATTAAAAGTTTCCATTAATCTAAACCTAGATACAGTTGAAAGCAAAATAATGTTTTATGACAGAGAACATTAATCTGACGAGATCAGCATCAAATGCCCTTCAGGCCATAATTCAGTCTGATCTCCTGGACTCTGTTCTGCCAGACGTACTTCATTCATGACAATAAATGTCAACCTTTGTCCGCACGCTGATTATGTAAAGTTAATATCATACTATCAAACCTGCCTGGATTCCTACATATGCACTGGTGGAAGAAACACTAAGATTCTGCATTCAAAATCCTACTGAAGTAGTATCGGCTGAATGTACTTGGATTATGAGAACTACTTTATATGAAGATATAGTTTAGTTTGGTGGTTTGCAACCTAGGGGTCTCAGTGGTTAAATCTGAGGGGCCATGAGTTGATTCATGGGAGAGGTGAGAAGAAAAAACTAAGTTGTGATACACAAATCCTCACAAGATATTAGAAATGTTATTGACTTATATGAGGTGGAAATGAAGATGACGGGTGCAGCCTCAGTTATAAAGTTATAGCTAGCACTGAGCAAGAAACCTTCAAAATCAAACCTAGAGGAGGATATATGGAACAAATAGAGGGGCTGAAGCCATGTTTAATACTGTAAATACTGTAAATATTTGAATCTGGTTCAACATAAAAACAGCTGGTTTTAAGGCTCAGTTTCTGAATACAGGCTGTGTGCATTTCTCTGTGGACTGAGGCTTTGATACTTTCACTGTATTAATATAGAAGCTAGACCTGATCTATAATCACACTACACATGGACACAGACCTTTAGACTGGATGGAGGTTTAACATATTCACCTGAATCAGTTACTAACCTCAGTTGGTGCACAGGAGACATGTCGGGCTGCTCTCAGAGAAGAGTACGGAGGTGGAGCCTGAGCTTGATACTGACCTTCATCATGGTTTTTATTACTATGAAAAGAAAGAACCAGGACTTATCTTAACATGTAATCAAGGCACACAGTGAGTTTGTATACTCGTTTTCATAAAACTAGAAATTTTACTATGAATTAACTTGAAATAAATAAAACGTACTGAGAAGAGTTAATTCCAGTAAATGTCTCATGTTTTAAAGTGTTGTTTTCTAAGATTATCATGTTTTCTTAACTGTAACATTTAAATCTGTAAAGCGAGTAAAAGTAGTAAAAGTATAAATACCTCAAAATTTTACTTTGTACACACCTTGAGTAGATTTAATCTGTTACCTTCCACCACTGTTATCAATATCTTTATACTCCGATCAACAACTACTGATTCCCTTTATTGATCCCCAACCCCAAATAACCAATGAAATCACCGCGTGGCCGCGAGTGGAGATAAGAGGAGAAAGATGCTCTCTGCATTATCATTTTATTGATTCACACACTGATTACATCTGATCACATTTTAATATTTATAATACTTGGAATGCACACCAGAGGAATCATCATCATCATCATCATCATCAATATAATAAATAAATGAAAGCGTTCTGTCGCCTCCTGATCACTCACCTGAACTGAGGCTCATTTAATGTGGCCAACAGTGTTACGTTACTGACTAATTAACTGGATGTGGATTAGTTGCCAAAGGGGACAGTGACTCCAGGTGACCAGTAATCCTGTTGAGCTACTGATACTATTAGGGGTTTTTGGAGCGGACAGGAAGGAGGACTGTTGGTTTTGGCTTCATGCCCTTTGTGGGAATTTCAGTGACACAATATGCTTTAAAAACAAAAATCCACCAAAAACAACCTGCAGAGTGTCTGTGTGATGATAATCCATCCAGTCATGTTTGTTAATGTGACTAAAGCATGTGGAACAGCTGTCATTTGACCTGCAGTACTTTACCGCTGCTTTGGCTCAATTTTAATTAGAGAAACGGAACCAAAAAACCATCTTTACGGACGTGTACTGTAGCACTGGACATGCTGTCAGCTGTTTAGAAAGGACACACCTCCAGTTTTGGATGCTATCGAACCCTTGTTACTACGTCGTTTGAATATAAATGAAAATAAAAACTGTTAAACTGACTTTCTAAATTCTTATCTTTAAACACAAAACACACCTTCAGTCATGAGCATACAGACATATCCTTTGTTGGCCCAAAGATTTTATTTCTTATATATTTTTGTTATTTTAATGTAAATATCTCAGGTTTGATATCTCAAATAAAAACAAACTGGTGCAGCAACATCGTCATTTTGTTTTGTATGAATGGAGATTTACAGCAGTGCAAAGTCAGACTCTTATTATCTATATTTATTATTATCTATATCTCTTATTGTCTATATTTACAGTGATGCAGTATTTTCAATTAAAAGTCACTCTTATTCTACACCATTTAAATACTGACTGCTGAGGAAGCTGCACTTTGTGTATAATCTTGATGAAATTACCTTTATGTTCTGTTTTCATTAGAATTATTGATAAGTGAATTAGTAATCAGTTAGAATCAGAAGTAGAAGTAACTAGTGATTGACAGCATTATTTGATCATTATCTTATATTTTAAAATGTTAAAATGATTGAAATTCACAGGTGAATATAAACAACGTTGTGATGCTCTGATAAAACTGTATGTGTTACAGATTGTGGCTGCGTCGAACGACTGATTTCACCATCGTGACGGATCTGCAGACTGATTTCTCCGGTGACTGATTCATCATTCAGTCTTAATGATGCAAGAGAACAACAGAAAACAAAAACACAACAATCCCGAGCTCCCACAGTCCGAGACGACGCTCAGATTTGTTCTTATCTGATTCTAAACCCTAAAAATATCGAGTTTACAATTATATAGAACAATGTGAAGCAGGAAATGCTCACATCTGAGACGGTGTGTAAGTTATACTTAAAATATGATAAATTAATTATCAAAAATATTTTAATTTTGCAGCATTCATTAAGAGTTTATTTTTACATTGACTTTTCTACAAGCTGAAACTCTGTTGGGAAAATTGAGCAAAAGCAGCTGTAAAATACTGTAAACGCTGATTGACGTTATCTGTGTCAGTCTGTCATTACCTTCACTCCCACAAGCACCTGAACGCAGCACTGGTCATATTTACATTGTGAACCCTGCACTTGACTCAGATACAGTTGTCTGCTGTGAGATGTTGGCGCCCTCTTGAGGAGAGGTTGATGAACACCACCGAGGAACATTTCACATTCTACTTAATGAGACTTTTCTTATTTCACTGGTTGATTCCATTAATTTAGACTTAATATATTCATTTTGACTAAATAAAAGATTTAGTTTTTTCTTGTGCACAATTAATGTCCAGTGAAAACCACGTATGTCCAACTTTGAACTTAAAGATCCCCTTCAGACATGAAGAAAAACGCTCTGCTTAGAATAATAACTTGATTGATGATTTGATGAGTTTGTCCACAAAAACAGGGCAGCTGCAGGTTCACCACCTTCCACACTGTCATTTGATACTTTAATATGAAAACAGTGACTATAGTCACTTTAAGTATTAATTACTGTTCCTCTATGGGTTGATAAAATTCTTATTCTTTTCTTATTGGCTAAATAAACCATTAAAAACCAATTGGATTATCTAAAAAACTCATGTGATAAAGTTAAAAACAGGTTTTTAACAAGTGAAAGTTTTTCAGATACATGGTTTTCACAGGACTGAGAGAAGTTTACAGACAATTTCAAAAATAAAACAATTAACGACTATTTTGAGGCTTTGCTATCAATGCCTCGTTTAGTGTCTTTTAAAAAGCCGTCATTTAAATATCTGAAAATAATCTCAAGTAAGAATCAAACACGCTGATGTGAGATCTGTTTTGATTCCTAAAGATAAAAGTGATTAATTAGGATCTTGGGTTTTTATCTTGGACACAGTAAAGAGCCATTTTTAAATCAGATCTGGAACCAACTGTTTGTCTAAGAGGCAGATCCCTCACCAGCATCCTCGTACACTACACTATGATATGAACACAAAAAGAGTTTATGCACTTACAAAGCCCAGAAAACAGAGGCAGCAGATTATAGCTCACCAGCAGCTCAGTCCAAAAAGAGAAAAGAAAAGAACTCAACAAAATGCACGATAACACCCAACTCACCCATCTACTAACTCGGAATATCATGCAATTAAATACCGTCTACAGCGTTAATTGTAGTTAAGTCACCACGATGAAACTGGAGATTTACATAAACAGCGTGATACTAGAATTTCAACCATTTGTCATAAAGTTTCAGCGGTTAACTTGCAACGTTCAGAACACAGAGAATCGATTAAGAAACGACAGGAACATCTTTAGCATGCTGCATGGTTTTCACTGTCTCACAGAGCGGCGCAGAGGCGAAACACACGGAGGCGTCGGTTTGGGGGGGTCAACTACACTCCAGAGAGAAGGGAATAAAACTCCATTGAATAACAAAACAAAAACAGGTAATTAAATACACCCACTGTCTCTCTCTCTCTCTCTCCGCGAGACACGTGGTTCTGTTTGTTCATTTCACACAGGCAGCCTTAGTCGTGCAGAAAAACAGCCACTGCTAATAAGGATACAGGTAGGAGTCATGCTCGCCATAAAAAAGAAGAAGAAGAAGAAGAAGAAGAAGAAGAAGAAGAAGAAGAAGAAGAAGAAGAAGGAGGAGAAGGAGATACCAGAAAGATGACTAATAAATATACTGTACAGTGGAAAGAGCACAACGATAGACTGCAGCCATAATAATACTAGAAGTAAGGAACAATAAACTTTATGTTGGAGAAGAAGTAAAAGGAGGAAATCTTCAACAGGAGAGAGCCACGCTGGGGGCTGCGCAGCACAGGATAGAGGAGGACAGGTGTTGTCCAGGTGTGCTGCGGCGTCAGACTGCACCCACTCACGGGCCGGAGACTAAAGACAAGACGCAGGTTTAAAGAGTTTCCTTTCTGCAGCTGATTGGCCCTCGGCTGCACCGCGGTGGCGTCGGGCGGTCGGTGTTACCGTCTGCTGTCGAGGTCGTAGAGAGAGACAGAGAGAGGTGGGTGAGCCGGGTGACTCCTTTAACTCAACCTCCATCCACCTCCACCTCTCTCTCTCAGCGCCGGTTCTCTCTCTCTCTCAGATTATCTCTGCTCGTCTCCGCCTCCTCGTCAGTCTCACGTACCTGGAAGGAAAACACGCAATTTTTTGTTGTTGTTGTTGTTTCGTTTTCAGAGCTCAACGCACTGCAACTTGCAAATACAGAAACACGCTGCAAATAGCACAGACAACAATGGAAAGTTGGAAAGTTGCTACTTGCAGCGTGTTTCTATGCTTGCTTGTGTAAAGAAATGCTTCAGAAATGCGCTGCAAGTAGCACAAACAACGGAAGTTGTACGTTGCTACTTGCACCACGTTTGTGTATTTGCTTGTGTTGTGTGCATCTGCAGCACATCAAATTGATGAAGAAACGTGCTGCAAGTAGCACAGACAATAACTGAAGTTGTCGTCTGTGCTTCTTGCAGCGTGTTTCAGAGATTTTTCAACAAAAGGTAAAATAAAAATAATGCAGCAAATGTTAACAATTTAGAAGCTGGAACATTTGGCATTTTTGCTTATTAAATAAATAATTAATCAATAATCAAAACTGTGTGAGTCACTTGTGTTGATTGACTAGTCAGCTGTTTCAAAGGAAATTAATTTTGCTTTAATTTAGTTGCACTGACAAAGGCCAGCAACTGACAATTACTTTCATTAATCTGATACTTGCTTTTGTTTTAATTATTTATAGTGATGAAACAAACAAGCGTCCAAACTAATTGTAAAGCAGCGAATCCTCAGACACTCACCCACAGAACTTTGATTATTAAAGATTATTTGACGTGTGTCGTTACCTCATCCCTGCAGCGGGGCAGCAGGAGCTCCTGAGCAGTGGAAGTGGACGTTTTGCCACCGGCTGTCCCTGCGGTGCCATACCCTGGTCTCTTCTGATTGGCTGGAGCGCGGGCGGCCCTGCCCGTCCACGAACTGCGTCAGGCGGATGTAGGCGATGCAGGCGGCGTCGTCCCCGATCATGTGCACGTGAGGGTTGAGGATGGTGGTGTGGATGGGTTTGCTGTTCTTGGAGAGGACTGACGGAGGAGAGGGAGAGGGAGAGAGAGAGAGAGAGAGAGAGAGAGAGAGAGAGGGATCCCGGTTCATTTCTAACAACAACTCAGTCAGTTTATGAAAAGAAAACAGCGTTTATCGTGTTCTTACGATTGTCAAAGTAAAACCTATGGAAGTCCATTCCCTCCACCAGATTACCCAGACCCTCGGGCTCAAACGAGGTCAGACCAGGGTCGCAGATCTTCCTGTGAAAATGTGCAAATATCCTGTTTTAGATTCAACATCACGAGGTAAATACAGTGAAAAATAATCCACACCATTTTTTTTTAAAACAAGGAAATCAGAAGAGGAAATTCACTCTGCTGCCCACTTTGGCTCCGCCCCAATTTGGCGATGTCATAATATGACTCTGAGGCACCGTGACGTTTAAGGAAATTCACCTCCGCCAGAAAAAATCAATTCTGACTTGGTATCTCATCATTTTGTCATAGCAACTTAAAAGTTTGTCATAGTAATTTACAGTATATACCTATCGTATATATGAATCATTATCAGTCTTGTTTTCCGTACTTTTAACTATATTTCATTGTAAAAATTAAATTCCTGGTATGTGAAAACTTCTTGGCAATAAACCAGATTGATTCTGCTTCACTTTTGAAAACCAGAGATTACAAACTGCTTCACAAGGATAAAACCAGAAAACAAACAACAAACACCTGCAGACAAATGCTTCAAAACAGAGGGAATAAGGTAAAGAAGCAAAACAATAAAATAAATCAAAACACAAATAAGAAATGTAAACATATATGAAATATGTAGAAGAGATTATTTAATCCTTTTTGAAAGAAATGTTTTTTCAGGAGTTCTTCAGGCTATAATATGGGAAAATAAAAATAAAAGTTTATTAGAAATAATTAATTAGATTAATTATAAAAATAAAATAAAAACTTTTGAGCAGCTTCACTTTCAGTCTTATAAGTGAGACTTTGTATCTCTTAGTAAAGTCAGTGGCTGGAGTTCCTCTCTTCATCTTAATTGGCTCGTTAAGGCCAATCAGGTGAGGGGACTAATTACCTGAGCAGCTGCTGCCTGGAGACTGAAGTTTAACATCTCATAACGGCAACTGAGCAACTACAGAATTTGAGGTGGAATCATCCTCACTCTGATTTACCATGAGTGGTTTTATTTTTATCACGCATCATTCTCCATGACCCCCCCCCCCCTGTCTGTCCAGCATTACTCTTAATTGTGAGGTGGGCAGAGAGAGGGGCAGGGGATAAAACAATGGCTGTAATTACTCTTTAATCTTTTAATACAAAGACAGAACACATTTGCATGTCGATCAGATTAATGCTTCTCTGTGGCCGGTGCTGAGCTTTAAAATCAGACTTTCCCTGCAGCTGGTCGAGGCTCCTGTTTGGAGGTTTGTTTGGTTTTTTTTAATGGAAGAAGAAGAAGAAGAAGAAAGAAAGAAAGAGTGGTGGACTTACGCGTAGGCCTCAAAGTCTCCATTGTTGACAGCTTCGATAAGCTGCTCTGTGATCTTTATGATTTCCTGTTTGCGAGCTGCAGAGATGAAACAAACGACGTGACAGTTCAGCCTCAGCGTGACGCCGCGGCTCACTGATGCTCAGACACTCCAAAAACTCATTCACACAAACACGAGGAACCACACAGACTCACCTAAGAGCTTGTTACTCATCGTCACTCATGTCTCTCTCATCTCTTCAGGCTCTGAGTGAAATCTCCTCCACGCTACAGCACCAAGAAATAAACTACTTCCCTGCAAGAAGTTGCGAGGTTTCCATTCGCCCGCGGGGGCACAGATGATCCTCACCTACAGATCCCCACATGGTCGACACATAGAACATCCCCTTCCTGCTCCGTCTAGCCGCTACGTCGCTCTCCACCTCCATCCATCATCCATCATATCTCCTGTGTGCATGTGAGGCTGCTTGAGCTCATGACGCTATTCTTGTCCGAGCGCTTTAGATCAGATTTACTGTGTCCTTCTCCCCTCGCCTCCTCCCGACACTGAGAGAAGGCTTAGCTCGCTCTAACTGCCCCTCTCTCTCTCTCTCTTTCACTCTCTCTCTCCCTCCCTCCCCCTCTCTCTCTCTCTCTCTCTCTCTTTGTTTTTGTTGATTATTTTCTTTTGTGGCTCTATTTATCATGAGTAGCTCTGCACACTCCTCCTAACTTCTTCAATATTTCATCAAAGGCTCGGTTCATGTTGTCCGACTTCTCTCTGATGCACAGACACGTTTGAATTGTTGTGAGACCCAGTTTCTGCCTCTCAGAGTTTGACCTCACGCCTGAGCACAGTGGAAGTTTCACAGCGATATGTATAAATACACAACAATGAACCAGCACGGCAGAGATTGTTTCTTTAGAAGAAGTTGTTGGGATCAAAACTAGAATCGCTCTGACTCGTTTCAGATTAAATCCCTGTTTATCCAGAGTCATAGAAAATATTTGTGAAGTGTGAAAAGAGCGTTCACAGTGAGGTCCAACCAGAGGGTCAGGACCCACAGAGGGGCCGCCAGATAAATCAGAGGGGTCGTGAAATGATTAAAAAGTCATTAAAGTAGAAGATTCATCAGTTTTACCTCCTGGCTGGTTTTGTTAGTAATATTCTAGTTGTCTTTTAACAGTTTAGCTGTATTATTATTATTATTATTATTATTATTATTATTATTATTATCATCATTATTATCATGTGGTAGCCTCGTGATGTTGTGACCATCGGTCAGGTCGGTTTCTCTGCAGTTTGACTTATAACCAGCTGACTGACCGACAGACTGGAGCTGTGACACGTTGCTTTACAATGGGTCAAAGATCTAAACACCGTTAACATGTCGGACTTTTTCACATTGAGATTTAAACATTATTTCCTGAGAAACCGACGAAAATGTTTAAAAATCTCACAATATTTAGGAAAGTGATAGAAAAAAATTCCTGGATCTGCTTCTTTCACTGGAGTCACACAGAAGGGTAATGGGTTCCTCTCTGGCCCCTCCCCCATCACGTCACCAAGTTTGGAGCAGATCGGATCAGTTCATTTTGTGCGCACACACACACACACACACACTCATTCACTGATGGAGCAGTGTATTGAGGTGAAGCATCTTTCCCAAGGACACTCCAACATGTGGACTTCAGGGATCAAACCACCGACCTTCTGATTGATGGAAAACCCTCTCTACTTCCTGAGAGTGAGATGACCCTGTGTGCGTGCGTGTGTGTGTGCGTGTGTGTGTGTGTGTGTGTGTGCGTGTGTGTGTGTGTGTTTGTGACCTACCTTTCACATCCTCATCCTCAATAGTGGTGTTGCTGCTGTCAGATGATTCCTGCAAAGCACACAGACAAGAACGTTAATTAAAACACACATTCAGATATCCACAAACGCTGCTGCTACACACACGCACACACACGCTTATAAATGCATGCACACACGTACACAACACCCTCAGATTCCTGCCATCAAACCTACAACACGACTCTCTGATCTGAACACCACGGATTTGCCAAAGAAACAGAAACACAACAGCTGCACGTGTGACTGAGCGGAGACGCCGGCATCAATCCCGTCTGCGGATTGAGCCGAACCGGGCGAGGACGGACACGGACGACTGTACAGCACATGACACCCGAGCCACTGTTACAACACAAGTCTGAGCAGCGGGGGGGGGGGGGGGGGGGGGGTAATCTGGTGCGAGTCCTGCTGACACACACACACACAGATTGCTCAGCCGGCGGCAGACACCGCTGAGCTCCACTCATCTGAACACAGAGGGGCAGTGTAAGACAACCAGACACCTCACAGCAGCCACAGCTCCGTCCACCGCTCTCATGCAGGAACACACAGAGAGATGCACACACACACACACACACACACACACACACACACACACACATCCTGCAAAAAAACACACACTGGTTTTTGTCCAAATATGGAGGAACAGAGTGAAGACGAGGATGACATATGAATTAAAAACAAAAAAAAAGATGGAGGGGGAAAGAGGAGGAGGAGGACGAGGAGGAGGACGAGGAGGACGAGGAGGAGGAGGATGTACCTTGATCCCATCTACTGGATTATGGATGACAGTAGTCTGAGGCTCCTGGAGGAAAGAATGGAGAGAGGTGGAGCGGTAACGAGAGGATGTTTTCGCGACGACACGATGAAAGTTTGAGAAAGAGGAGGAGGGTGAAACGAGAGTAAAAGAGGGAGAGATGAGTGAAACATTTTCATTTTGAGGAGGAAAAAGTTCAAAGATCATAAACAGCTGATGGTTGTAAACAGCATGAAACCATCAATGTTAATGAGTGATCTGAAGTTATTGAACTCTCTGCTGCAGCTGATACAGACACATTTATCATCACATCTTCACTTCACCATGTTAAAGGAAAAACATGTCGATCTGTCTTTTTCAACTTAAAACAACAGTCAGGTGACGCTTCACTGGTCGCCTCTCAATGACATCATATCCTCTGTGTGCTTGTGTTAGTTGTGGTTTCCAGCCAGAAGCTCAAATTGACTTTTATCCAGTTTTAAATCACATTTTTAAGACGCATTCTTTGAACCAGATGAAGGATTTTAGTCATGGGATCTGAAGTTATCAGAGAAACAAGCTGAGGAAACGTTCGACAGCTCAGCTCCCAGCTGCTGGAGACGTCTGGTCCTGTGTTTGCCAAAAAAATCGTCTGTGAATCATTGATTTTTAAAGCGAAACAGTTTTATTCAGAGTCTCTCCTGGTGTGTTTGTTGTGGAGAGGACGACACCTCTGGGGATCATTCAGCTGCTGGTAAAAACCTGCTGAACGTCTTGAGACAAAGCTCGTGGCAACGGTGGTGAAGACAACTCCTCCCATGATCCCACGCTATGTCACGACATCACGCTAACGCCGTCTTTTGTTATCGCTGTGATTGAGAAACGCCAAGAGGCAGAAGTCCCCTGGGCCCAGAGTAAATACGTTAATATAAAAATACGTCATCGGCCTTTAGGGGACGTCTCTACTCAGAAGATCTTTCAACTTCCTGTAAGAACAGGAGGAATAACTGTCGCCTTCATTTGGACACATGACTGTTGTTTTAAGACTTTGGGCAAGAAAGAGAATAAGTGTCAAACTTTTTCCTTAAGAAGCTGCACAACTTGAATTAATACACAAAATCATAGCAACAAATCACAATGATCCATATCCAAAACTTCACACACACCTCTCTCTCTCTCTCTCTCTCTCTCACACACACACTTTGACACACTGCGTTGTGACAGTGTTTGTGACGGACGGACGGACACAGAGCTGCGTACCAGTGCAGCAGAGGGGACGTTGCCTTTGGGGCTGGTGACTATGCTGTTTCTCGTGCTGTTTGTCTGGGGCTGTGCAGGAAAACACAAAGTGCTGTGTTAGTGCTGAGCAGCAGCGGCGTGCGGCGCCGTCTCCTGGCTGTAAAGTGGGTGGTTAATGTGTAAAAAAAAGATCAAATAAAACAGTGTAATACAGGTAAAAGTAGCAGAGGGAAGCAGAGAGGAGAACAGTGCAGAGGAAGAAGTGAGTGCAGGGTTTGACAGCAGACTCACTATAGATCCAACAGGGTTTCTGACCACAGCACTAATTAGACAGAAAGGTTTTAAACCATTCATCACGTCACTTCATTTCTATCTGCAGTAAAAAAATCCAAAAGCTCAGACACTCTGGTCCGAGCTTTTTTCATTTTCACTGGGTTTCAGTGGCTGCGGTCGCCGTTCGGCAGATGGCAAATTCAACCGAGCGGCAGCTGTGCACCTTCCCAACATCTGTCGGATATAAAGACACGAGCGTAACATCCATTCTGTCGAACTGCTTGTGCTCATCCAGCAGAGATTTGTATCTTTTAATGTTTCTCTGCCGAGTAAAACAACATATTCGTTTTCTCTGCGGCGGATGATGAGGTCAAAAAGATGAGAGACACAGCACTTATGGAGAGGAGTGTGAGGCCACACACACACACACACACACACACACACACAAACACACACACACACACACACACACACGCACACTCACACACACACCTACGCACGCACACACACACTCACACGCACACGCACACTCACACACACACACACACGCACACGCACACGCACACTCACACACACACTCACACACACACTCACACACACACTCACACACACACTCACACACACACGCAGCGGCTTCATGCTCAAAAACCAATTAACTGTATTTTCTGCTGGTTAATTTCCTCAGCGGGGTCGTCTGTGATCGATCACCGTGTCGGACTGAGGAAAATTAAAAAAAAAGGCAGAAAATAAGTAAAATGTAAAAAGAGAGAGAAGCGAGTTCAGAGATGACGTAAACGTAAAGTCTCGTGTAACCGTCTGTTTACTCTGTATTTGGTATTTTAGGAGGGAAACATCACGTGATCATAGAAAACGTCCCTAAAGTGAATCAATATAACTGACGCTCCTGAACATTCACACTCAGGCTCGACACTGAGCGAATATTTAAAGCGCTAAGAGGAAAGTTGAATATTAAAGCACTTCAAAAATGAATATATATCCATAACGAGCTTAATTACTTTTGAATTAGGCCCCATTCTGAGTTTACAGTCCCGGTTTCACCAAGTCATGAGTTCTCAGGGACGAAGCTCCGGGACGACTGGGATCTTTTCGCTGATTATATTGAAAATTGTTTTAACGTAATTATTTCTTTCTAAAAATCACTAAGAGCTTTTCTTGATTAACTGATCGTTTAGTCACTAAAATGAAAAACAAACATCACAAGTTTCCCAGAGCAGAACTTGTGCCGGTCCATTTAGTAAAAGTTGAGATGTTATTATTTAGATTTGACCTGCTGGTGGCGCTAGAGGAGGGGCCACAGGTTTTCCAAAGTCATTGTGATCGGGAATCTCAGCAGATACCGCCTTTTCCTTTTTCCCCACACTTGAACATATTAACGAGTTTTGTTCACAGCGACGGTTTGATTTAGAAAACAGAAATAATTTGGTCCAAATACTCAGACTGTGTTTTAGGCAGCAGCAGGATTAAAGGTATCAGACTCCCGCCGGCTCTCAGTCGTAGACTGTGGTCTTCCTCCTGTCACGGATGAATAACGAATGAGCTTCCTGCAGCCCAGTCATCACCTGGTGGTCTGCCGAGTTCAGGAGCAGGTCTCTGAGTCATCCTTCAGGCCCGGTTCACACATGACTCTCCTCGGGCGGCGAGTCAGAGAGTAAGGACACCACAGAAGAAGAAAACGGCTGCATAGATGATGGATTTTTAACTCTGACTTTCCATGTGAATCCCTGTTTATCCCTCGGGCCGGGCGGCCGGCAGGATACACAAATACCTTCAAAGGAGAGAGACGCTGCTTTAAAATCGCCGGCTGATTTTTTTGCCCTTTGATTTTCAGTGACACTAACGGGCAACACTAATTCCTGCGTAACGCCACCGATGAGGTCACGAACTACAGCTTCCTGCTTCGCTCGGGAACGATAGTGAACTAGTTTCTGCAGGAAGATTCAATCAAGTCTCATTAGATTTAACGGCACCGAGACGTCGGCTTATCATGTCGCAGCACAGACGGTTTTGTACTTTAATGTCTCGTTAATGGGTCGTTGATTGGAAGTTTAGGAATCCAAGTGACTAACTTTAACTGATGATTGGTTCTGGGTTGAGAGAACAGCTGTTAGCAAACACAAACCAGGTTTCCCAGAGGAGGAATATCTTAGTTGAGAGTGAAAAGTCTCGTGGATGGATCAGACTCAGGATTAATCGCAATAACGTCTGACTTTTTATGTGGCGCCGTCATCAGGTACAAGATGTAATTAGTTCAGTAATTAGATTTTACCTGTAAAACTGGTTCATTGAGTCAGGTGTCCAGAGAGATGCAGGTGAGGTGAACTGGAAGCTCTAAACTGACCTCAGATCTGTGAGTGAGTGTGAATTTACTTAAGCCCCGTCCAACGGCGCATCACAGAGTGCATGCTGGGATATGCTCCAGTATCTTAAAGCCCTGGAACTGCTTCAAACAACCGACGGTTGCATTCAAGCGAAAACAAAGAAAAACTCCATAAGTGGATGTAAGGAGACTGTTCATACAGCCTCAGTGAGGCGCAGCCGAAGAGAGGAGGAAACTGTCTGTCGGGATTCTTGCTTTGAAAAGAGAGGAAGAGAGAGGGAGAGAGGGAGAGAGGAAGGAAGAGAGAGTGAAACTGCTGTTTCTGATCAAACCGTCCTGAGAGAAGAGGCAGCTCGGAGGATGAGGAAGAGCTCAAAGAGAACGACAACGGGAGGAAGAAACCTGAACTCAAAACAGGAAGTCATCCACTAGAGCTGAGCGAGAGGAGGATGAGGAGGATGAAGAAGATGAAGAGGTTGTGGTGATTTAACCGACTCCTCACTCATTTAAATGGGATGGACAAAATAATAGAAACACCCGGAGCCGAGCTGTGGAGCTCACAGGCAGCAGGCCGGGGGGGGGGGGGGGGGGGGGGGGGGGGGGGGGTCACATGACGAGCTGAGCACCTCTCCTCTCAGGTGTCCACAGAGGACAGTGAGCGAGAGACAAAAGGAATCTGAGACACTTGACTTTTTGTAAATAGGCCCTTTTAAAGGTGATTTCTGTGCATTTACACACATAAACATTTCAGCTGCACGATACGCAGAGAAACATCATATTGTAATTTCAGTTGGACCGGTCATTTTTGAATTAAAATGAATTAAAAATGATGATGACGATGTGATTTTTGTCGTTTCTTGTCCCAAACAAACACGTTCCTTTTTACGTGTGGAGAATATGATTGGTGGGCCGGGGGGCGTCTCTGATGCAAGAAATATTAAGTGGAAGAAATACGGTTCCTAAAGAGGTAAAGCACAATAAAAATGTGTGTGAAAAGTTCCCTGAAAGCAGCAAAAAGATCAGAGCAGCTGAAAAACTGACGTAACCTGAGTCCGTACAAACCAACCAAACCACAGAGACTGAGAGAAGAAGAAGAAGGAGCGACGTGCTGCAGCAGGAGGGTATTTATCTCTAATGAGAGTCTCTGTTGGGGGGGGGGGGCTTTATATTCCTAGTAAACTAATCACTGTGTCTGTTAGAGGAACACAAACGACTCAAACATATTTTCTGCAGTTTTTAAGGAGGGAGAGAAACGCTGTGTGGAAATGAATAATGATGTTTAATTTTGTAGGAAGTGGAGGAAAGTGGTTTGAACATCAATTACAGTCTCCATCTGAGACGTAGGGCCCCGTGAGTCACCGTCTGATTCAACAAAGACCGTTTCACATTTACATACCGAGGTCGTCTCACGCTAAAAAAACACAGTGTCTCTTGGATTTAATGTGGAGCTGAAAGAGAAAGCGCCTGTCAGTTGTTCTGAATCTTTCCTTAACTAAAGCAGCATCAGTGGGTTTTGTGGCCATTTGAGCACTTGACATATTAATCAGCTAATTAAGTAGATCATTTGGTGGAGGACAAAAGCCTACTGACACTCTCTCTCCTTTCAGCTCTGATTTGGTTTCCACCAACACCTACAGGAAAGATCTGGCACTTTAGCTGCTGACCGCTAACTGAAATGCTAACTCAGTAAGTGTACAGGGGTTTATCAAGACCCAAAACAGGGGTCTTCTATGGGTGTTCTTTAAGACTGTGAGCTGTAACATGCACTGTTTCATCTTTACTAAAACTAAAGCCGTAGAATCCAATAAAACATACAATCATAATTGATAATTAATACGGGTGTAAAAGCCATTTCCTATCATGACTTCAATAACAGCTCAGCTGTAACCATCCCTCCGCTCTGAGGATGATGAAGCAGTTTACCACAGGTCTACCGCAGCCATTACATACATAACAATGACTAACTCTCTCTGATTCCCCTTAGCTACTGCATTAAAATACATTTTCAGAGGAAACTGCTGTAAACTGAGACGAGTGTGTATGTGTGTGTGTGTGTGTGTGTGTGTGTGTGCGTGCGTGTGTGTGTGTGTGCGTGCGTGCTAATGCAGGAACACTGAAACAGCTCCAGGGTTGTGTGCATCGGTGTGTGACGTCAGGGTGCAGCAAAGGAGAAGCTGCTGTGATTATGTAATGATAGATTAATCATCTGGTGGGAAATAATCTGAGATTAGCATCGGGCCACCCGAGGAGGGGAGGGGAGGGGAGGGGAGGGGAGGGGGAGCGAGGAAGAGGAGAGGGAGGGAGAAGGAGGAGATGCAGGTTAATGAAAGAGAGAGAAGAGAGGGAGCGATCACATGCTTTTTTCTATTGAACAAAATCCAAACACCTTCAACACTGAAAGCTACGGAGGCGCCACAGTGTCACTAAATGATCTCATGCAAAGATCCAAATATTATTCTCAAAATATCATCTCACGTGA